GGAAGGGAAGGGAAGGGAAGGGAAGGGAAGGGAAGGGAAGGGAAGGGAAGGCGCAGGGAGGCGCTGGAAAGCGCTCTCCCGGGACTGACCCGAGCCCCACAAACCCTTTATATACCCCCAGCCGGGGTTGGGGCTCTGCCATGTCACAATGGACTTTGGGCATCACAAGGTCCCGCATCAGCGAGGGCCCTGACGCACCGTGCCTGTGTCATAGAGGCCACCCCGGCACCCCGTGCCTGTGTCACAAAGGCCACCCCGGCAACCCGTGCCTGTGTCACAAAGGCCACCCCAGCACCCCGTGCCTGTGTCACAAAGGCCACCCCAGCACCCCTCCAACAGCCCGAGTCACCGGGAGCGGCCTGGAGCAGCCCCGGTCTTGGGGGATTGCTGCCCCTTCTTCTGAGCCGCTCCTTCAAATGATCAGGAGCGGCTGGGGCCGAGTGAAGGTGCAAAGGACACCCTATGGCAAAGCCACTTGTGGGGTTTTACTGAACTGTTCATGTCAGAGACAAAGGGAGAGAGAGAAAGACAGAAAGAAAATAACAATGAGGGTGTTTAGTTACTACTGGCTGTGGGCTAATTCATCCTTACTGGAAGTGAAAGTATAGTAAATGCAATTGATTCCTGCTAACTAAACTGTAACTATTTGGAAAGTTATTATGAGAAGCAATGCAAAGAATCATTGTTGCGAGGCAGATGCACCCCTTTACAGATGTTCCATGTTCAAATGGAGGTACAGGATGTAGTTTAGAAGATACATGTTGTCTCAAGACTTAAACGACCTTGAGAAGGACAAAATGAGAACGACTAGGCCTTGGGCCTAAAAATGTAATATTGCTGTTTCTGTCCCATGTTTTGAAAGCTTCAGTTTGAAAAAAGTTGAAAAGCTTTGAAATTTTCTACCAATGTTACCGAGGAAGAATGTAAAACCATAATTTTGTGTAATTTTTGTGTCTAGATCACTCCAATATATCTCTCTAGTGCACCACTAACTGTGAAGACCTTAATGTGGAATATGTTTGCAGTTTTGGGTGCTGCCCTCAGGAATGAGGTGAAACCAACGTCTTTGGAAACTTTGGAAGGAACAAATGAAAGGATTAGGCTCCTGAAAAAGGAATGTTGAGGTAAGGTGTAGGTGAGACATAGCAAATTTCCCATCTGTCAGAAGGAGGAGAAAGAAACGTTTCCTGTCCCTGCTAAGACAGGGAGCAGGAAGTGTGACTTGGAGAAGGAGAGTTTAATCCATCTATTAAAAAAAACAGTGATAAACTACAGCAGACTGATTAGGAAACATTGTTTATGTTTCAGTTCCAAAGGTCTTTAATTCCACCTTCTGCTGAGCAAGAACTGAGTGTGGTGTTGCACTAAGCCAGGCGTTATGTTTGCACTGAAGTGTTTTTTCCCTGTTGCTCATCCCTGGGTGTGTGGTGTTGGATGCCTCCCCTCGCTCTTCCCCTTCCATTTCATTGAAGTTGGAATCCTGCTTTCTCCCTCCCTTTGGCCTCCCAGTTTAAAAACCCCTGCCATTTCTCCCTGTGTCTCTTTTTTCCCCGGAATTCATTCCAAGAATAAACTGGACAGCATCCTGGAGAAAAGAGCCTCCTCTGTCTTTTATCTTGGCCTTTTTGCACCTCCTTCTTGAACCAGTTTTAGAATGGCATTGTTGGAATTACTACTTTCCTCCTGCCTTTTGGCCAGTAAAGGACAGATTGGTTGTTGCATTCTGTTTGTTGGTAGGTTCCTGTTGTTCCCCCACGATGATGTCATGGTCTTTCCCCTCTGTCAATTTTGGAAACCCCTCCCTTTATTCCTGAACCTTTTCTATCAGTCGTCCCTTTACGGCCCCCATTTCCTGCCCATCATTGTAAACCCTACCCTTTCCTCCAGTACCTTCCATGCCTCTCATCCCCTGCTCGACACAGGATTGGTTTTGTAACTGCCGCCCCACCCACGTATGTTTCCCATTGGTCCCAAGCTCTGTGAACCCCTCCTTTGACTCCTCCCAAAGTGCTCCCTGATTGGTCCCTGAGTCGTACCCTCTCCTTGGTTAAAACCCGACGCACGGAGCTGCTCGGGGCTCACTTGTTCTCCTGTTTCATCGTCCCAGTCCTCTCCCCACTCACCTCTCCCTTTCCCTACCAATAAACCTGTTCCTGGGAAGCTAAGAGAGACTCTGAGCCTCCTCCATCCCTTTACTGAGACCTGCGACGCCTGAGACCTACAGGGCCCGAGTGCAGGGGGCTCTGGAGGTTCAGCACTGGGACCATCGTGCCCGTGCTGTTCCCCACTCTTGGCGCTGCCATCGGCCGAGTGGTGTAGAGCTAGCCCAGGCTTGGAGAGCCGTAGAGCGCAGCGTCCATTGGTCGAACTTTTTTAATTTCTCTTAATTAGTTTCAGCTTTTTCTTGTTCCCAGCAGCTTTTCAAACAGAATTTAAATGTGCATGAGAGCAACCTGGTAAACCAGGGAGAAAAAACATTCCATACTTGAATGAGAAAGTACAGTAAAATACAAAACTATGAAAGAATAAAATCAAAGGAACAAACAGGGAAGAATTTGGTCGAGCAGAACTAAAATTTGAAATCAGGAGCAGATCACCACGTGCAGGGGACATAAAACCAAGGACATCAGATTGGAGCACTGTGTTATTATGGCATGAGATGGTGTAAAATGGAGCCTTAAACACCTTGAATTTCCTTTACAACAGTCATACACAATAGAATTCATGATAACATGCCAAGTATCTGTGGATTTCTTAGATATCCTACATTTCCACAAGAAAAGATGGTTTCTGTGAATTAAAAAAGCACCCTGGGGGATCCTGTGTATGAATTCTTTATGACCAGACTGGTAACATCTTCCAATGACCATCGGAAATGTGGAAATTATCAAAGAAAAGAATATATTTCAAATGGATAATAAAAAAACCCTGTAACTAGGATATTTTTCAAATAAGGGGCAAGAAAAGTCTTCAGCCTAGTCACCTACAGATATTTAACACCCACATTTGTACATTTTTTAATGTTATCCTCATTCTGTTGCAAGAGGGTGTACCTCGATTTTGATCAAAATATACGTGTGCATTCTACATAACTAATCTTGATAGATCAGCTTCTACAAAGACCTTCCGTAAAGGTCTGAAGGTTTTCCATATCTATGAGATGAGTTTTCTTTTTCCTAAAAAAAGCTTAAGGTTTGCAACACTTCAGGATCTCCTGCTTGGTTGACATCCTTTAAGATAACTGAACACAATTCACCAGCAAGGCATCTGCCATTATTTGGTTCAAAACACGTGGCATTTTGTCATGGTTTAAAACAGTAACTAAAAAAATGTACTTATTTCTTGCTATGAGATATGGATTAGAACAAGAGCAAAAACAGGCTTCAAACTTGAAAGGAATAAAGAAAGTTTATTAACAAAACTACAAGAATAAAAACACCAGAATAAACTTTCAGAAGACTCTTTTATCCCCCAATACCTGACCATTCTTTTGTACGTGTGACAACAAACAGACAAAAATCTTTAGAACTTTGGTGGTTAAAACAGTCTCAATTTCTGCTACAGTCTTTTCAGCAGTCTTTGTAGAGAAACAGAAGTCTTCTTTTGCTAATCTATGGAGTTTCTCACAAGAAAACTATTTCTGTTATAGTTTTCTATTTTTCTCATGTCGGCTGCCCAGAAATCCTCGCATCAGAGTTCACTCCTCCCATTTCACATCACTCTGAGGTGTGTATGGGCCATGAGTCTAGGGATGTCATGTTTAGGATGAGTTATTCAAAGGCAAAAGTCCTCTTCACCTGTCTCTGTGAGCTTTTCTGGAAAACAGTTTTCTCATTGCCCCCAAGGCTTCAAAGCTTCACTCAACTCTGTTCCAGCAACTCGCTGTATCACAATTACTCTCTCTCTTTGGCTTCAAATCCACGCTTTGAACACTCCATTCCTCCCAATATACTCTGTCATGAATTAAAGGAGTCTTTTCAAACTACTCTTGTCCATCTCCATAGCTTTAGCAGAAAGATACTTTCAGCTTATAAAACATCTCCTTATTCTCTCTTTCCCATTTAAAACTTCACTCACTTTTCTCACTGTTTCTGGTGGTTTTATGATGTCTTCTGTATGTTGATTGTCTCTCTCTTTCTCTGTCTCTCTTGGGAAAACGGAGTAATCTGTACGTTTTATCCAGGGAGTAAAAGAATTAAAGCTTTAGAAAAGCTGCAAGAATTCATGGTGTCAGGTTTCAGTCCAGCAGCAGAAACTGAAAACTAAACCAGGCTGGCCGGCTCTGCTTCTCCCCCCCCACTTCGTCCTCTGCGGCCTTGTCCGGCCTGGAGGGGGGGAGAAGCCAAGGCAGAGCCTGTTACCTTTCCTGAAATCACAGACACAAAGAGGACAAGAGAGCTTTGGCTGTACATCTTAAGGGGGTGTTCACAAGTTGACTTCACTTTTTCATGGTCAAAACTGCTGTCACTTCTTAGAAATGACTGCTAATTGGTCAGGAGGAAGGACTCCCATCAGCCACCAGCAGCTTCAACGTCCTCAGCTCTCAAAACCACCTTAAAGGTAAAGAGAGAATAAGGAGATGTTTTATAAGCTGAAAGTATCTTTCTGCTAAAGCTATGGAGATGGACAATAGTAGTTTGAAAAGACTCCTTTAATTCATGACAGAGTATATTGGGAGGAATGGAGTGTTCAA